GCTCCAGACCTTAGGCTCCTAGGGACGGGCTAACCGCGAGACCCCGGAATCCCCTTTCTCCTCCCATCTCTCTGGGCGAGGCCCGGATCCGGCGAAAGCTGAGCCTAAAGCTTTGCGTGAGGCTGTCTTTGGGGGTCGGGGAAGTCTCAGCCTCGCAGTGAGGAGGCCAGGCAGAGCTGGGTACTCGGGAGCAGTCCAGAAGCGCTGGCACGAAAAGGGGGCTGAGGAGAGCTCGGCAGAGAGAAAAGGCCAGGAAAGAAGAGAGGAGGGCGAAGGGCGAGGGAGAAAGGGAGAGCCGCGAAAGGCCAGGCCGGGAGAAGGCCGCGCCGAGAGCCGGCTGGGCCCAGGCGCCGCGAGGAAGTGGGAGCCGAAAGAGCGAAGCCCAGGCGGGCAAGCGCCGCGCACGCCGCCCTCCCGTGTCCCGGTGCCCTCTCCCGGGAGCAACCGGTGCGGTCTGCGTCGCTGGGAATGGGAAACGAGGCTGGCCAGGCGGCGGGGAAGCGCCGGCCTTTTCCTCCCGTGGTTCCGGACGCTGGTCCCACCTCGTCCTGACCCCGCCGAGCGCTAGTGACGCTTTTCTCCGCACCCGCCGTTAGGGACGCGGGGCGGAGACTGGTTCTCGGCATCCCGCACTCGCTCTGTGCGTTGCCCCCGCCAACGTAATCGGCTGGGATGGGCCTAGGGTGAGCGGCCGGCCCGAGAGGCTGAGAACTGTAAGGCAGTGACACGGGGATCTCTTTGGTCCCATTCGCCGCTTTGTCCCCTGCACTCAGCTCAAGGTTCAGCACACAATAGACGCTCAGAATAATATTTGCTGAGTGAATGACTGAGCGATGACTGATTGGTTGAGTATATGAATTGGGAGGTGGAGGCAGCAGAAGGGGTAGGGTGGGGGTCCGGTGGACCAGGGCCGCGAGCTGTCCGCTTACCTCGCACCAGGATGCGGCGGTAGTGGTCTGCCTCACCGAGCCCGGGGTGGCCGTCGCTGTCGGCGCCGCTCTCCCTGGAGCCCTCGGGGCTAGAAGCAGAGGTCCCTCCAATCTCCCTTGGGCTGCGGAGGCCAGCATCAGCACCCGAGTCCTCCGCTCCGCCTCTGTCCCCGCCGCGCCCGCCGCGCGCCTCCCGGCGTGCGGGACCGCGGTCGCGCTCGGCGCCCCCATCGCCCATGCCGGCTGCCACCGCCGCCTTCGCCACCGCCTGGCCAGCCTACGCTAGCTCAGCCCGCGGCTCCCCGCCCCTCGCAACCCCCGCCCGACTCCTCCTCCTCCGGCCCCGCCCCCGCCCCCTCCCGGCTGCTCCACCCGTCCCTGCTGATTGGGCGGGAGTCGGGGTTCTCCGACTCCCAGCCGCTCCCGAGGGAGCTGCGCGGGGCGGTGGGAGGGTGGCCCCACTCCTCTACCCCTAGTCTAGCCCCACACCCAGCTCGGCAGAGGGAGGCTGGAGCGGCCCTGGGGTGCTGTCCTACGTCCTCCCCTAAAGTTTATCAACTCCCTCCCCCAACCCTCGCCTACTCTCCTCCCCACTCCCTTCGTCCCCGGGGGAGCGCCGGCTCCGCGCTCTGGCTCTTTCAGAGGGATCAATAACCATAGTGCTCCAGGAAGGCCACCCTAGAGAGACCAAGCAGAAAGGAGGTTGGCCTTGCTTCGGCGCTTGGCGGGGTCGGGGGCTGGAGGCAGGGACTCGGGCCTGGGGTTCAGTGCTCCACCCCCGCCCCCAGACTCATACCTCCACCCACACTCACGAACACCGACCGCAGGCCAGTCCTGGCGCTCCTGGGAGAGCAAGGCCTGGAATGTGGTCAGTGAACCTGAGTGAGGCCAGGGGAGTGACGGAGTGACCCGCACTCGCCGGGGCAGAGAAAACACGTGCAGATAGACTGCCGGGGCCAGGAACCAAGAGGGTCGAGTGAGGCCGAGACTGGTAGGCAGCGAACGCCGGGTTCCCCTGCGGCTCGGAGGCCCTCACGCGGGGCCCGCCTCCTCAGACTAAGGTAGCAGGTGGGCGTTTCCTTGTGCCACCCCCACCCCGCCGCCGCCGTGGAGCTGCCCCCTACCCCAGCCCTGGGGTGGGAGAAGCGAAGCGCGGAGGTGAGCGCTGCTAGAAGCCGGCTGCGCTGGGAAGCCAAGCGGTGGGGGGCTCTGGGCAGAGCGCTCGGCCTTCCGAGGCGTCCCGGTTCCCAGCACTTTCTAAGGAGCCCGTGCTCGCCCGACTCTAGCTTCTTCTTTGACAGCACCAGGACAGGACAGGCCCTTCGTTCCCTTCGTTTGACTCAGAAAGGGGCTCGAAGAGAGATTGAGAGACCTCAGCGAAGATGTGTGTACAAGGTGTGTGTGCGCGGGAGGGCTGGTGACCCCTTCGCTAAAGCGCCGTCATTACAGACTTTGCTTCCTTTTCCGGCCCGCAGGCTCGGGTGAGCGAGGGTGCTCCAGTCTGTCCGGGCGTCTGAATGAGTGTCTTCGGGGGCAGGGCCCATGGATGTGCTGGGGTAAGCGGCTGTGGCGCGGCTGAGTGTGTGGCTGGTGCCTCCTCCATGACTCGGCGAGCCGTTATGTGACTGCGTGTGTCGGTGCCTTAGCGTGTGTCCAGTGTGCGTGTGCTTCTGTCCAATCTCAAATGTCCCCAGCAGAAGGCGAGGTGGGCTGGACGCCCCAACTGCGTAATTGAGTGACTAACAGTGCCTTGGTGAAGGGTTTGAGAGGTAGGAAGAGGGGAGGGTAAAGGGTGCAGGGGAGGAGGACTGCTGCTCTGTACTAACAGAAAGGAAGATAGTAAAGAAAGAAACTTGGCCACTAGGTACTTTGGGTAGGGCAGGGGAGCGCAGGACGGTGTGGGGGTGCTGGACAGGGTGTGCAGAGGGGAGAGCAGCGTGGACCAGCTCTGCGTGCTGACGGTTGGTGGCCCCTGGGGCTCTGGGGGGAAGGAAGTTTGTACTTACAGGAGGACCTAGGCAGTGCGACCCCGCAGATCCGAGCTCGGTTGGAAGGACCCAGGCGGCGGGCGCTGGAGGGGCGGCAGAACTCTTCAGTGACCCCCACATGGGCCAGAGTGCCCTCCACCCCTGCCCAGTCGGACGCTGGTCGCCTTCGCTCTGCATTTCAGTCTTTCTCCTCTCTAACTCTTTCAAGTTTACTTATTTTTATTATTCATGTAAGAAGCAGAAAGTAAACACTAGGCTCCAACCTTCCCGGCCCCCAAGCCCTCGATTTTCTGCCGGCCATAGGGCGGCCCCAGTTTCTGTTCAAAGAAAAATAGAACAGCCCCTGCTGAACCCTGCCGGGTTTTGTTTTCACCCTTTCAATTTTCATTCCACAAATAACGTCTCTCAGTGCCAATAACTCCAGGTCTCTGTCCGGCGAACTTTTCCGAGGTCCACGGATGGGCTTCCGGACGCCCGCACGCTCCTGGGGGATCGGGGCGGGTCTACAGGGAGAGGCAGAATCCCGCGGACCCAGGACCCAGGCAGTTGCGGCCGCCTCCCCACCCCTAGCTTCGGGCAGCTCCGCAGGGAGCAAGGGAGGAGGGTTAATTCTTGGGAGGTCCCACTCTTCCTCTTTCTCCCGCCCTTTATTTATTTATTTTTTCCTCCCGTTCCCTCTTTGCGGGATGGGATTTGGCGTCCCGGGGGCGTCGGGCTCTTTCAGCTCCCCAGGCCTGGAGGTGGGGCCCGGGCCGGGAGATCGTGCCCGCTCCTATCGAGTGAGGAACTCAGGGCTTCTGCGCGCTGAGGCGGAGAGTGTGTCCCATGCGTGTGTGGATGTGTGTGTGTGTTGGGGGAAGGCAGTGCTGGACCTACTCTCCCATCCGGGCTCTGGCCCAGCCAAGATGCCTGCCAGGCCATCCAGGCTCCTGGGCGGCCCAGTGCCTAGCCCAGAAGGCGGATTGTGCCTGGCCACTCCCACCCATATTCTTTCCTCTCTGGAGACCTTGTCCTGTCGTTCTGTCTCCTGAGCTTGCTGGGTGAGGAAAGCTGGGTGCCCCTGTACCCAGGTATGGCCACGTGGCAGGGGTGTGCAGGGTTGGCCTTGCTGAGTGTGTGTGCACGCTCACATGTTGGGATGCCGTTTGGTTCTGGGAGATCCTCCTGCCCAGGCTAAGCAGGACATGCAGAGCTCCGGATGTTGAGCCCGCCTGGCACAAACTCACTGTGATCTGGGATTCCTCACTGGGCAGTGAACCGATGACCTATGTGTCCTATGCCATATGCTCTCACTGCCAGTCTACACTTGCTGTCTCACTGTCATCTCAACTGGGTCAAGATCCTAGGAACCTGGAAAATCCTCTTTCTACACAACCTTGTAAAGCGATTCAGGAACCTTAGTGGGAGGGATGTGTATGGGGGAGAGGGGAGGGGAGTCCCAGCTGACAGGGGCAGGGCCATGGCCTAAACTGCTTTCCCTGTGGCCTGACCCTGCCAGGGCTCCAGTGCAGACAAACCCCAGGTGTTGATCTGCTCCTTTTTGGGTCCCACAGAGCCTCCACAGCTCACAGCCCAGGTTCCATCCCTGCCATCAGTCTCTGTCCTGGCCTCAGCTGGTCCCAGGGAATTAGTGGGCTTCGGCTTTGCAGGATGAGCAGGTCTGGTTACAGTGAGCTGCTGTGTCCTGGGCTGGAGTCCCATGATGCTCTGCCACAAGGAGCTCCCTGGCCACATAGTGGTCCATGTCCTCTGCTCAGCTGTAGGAGTGGGGAGACGGCCAGTCAGGAAAGGGCTCCACCAACCCAGCTTTCTTCAGATGCTCCTTAGCACTAGGTCACCAGAGGATTTCTCCAAAATGGCCTGAGTTGGGGAAAGAAGACTGTCCTCCCTCTAGTCTCACCTTGTTTAGCGCCTTGCTTAACTGCCATCTCTAATTCTTGCTGATTTTTCTCCTGGTATGGGCTTGATCCAGTCTTTCTCCAGGGACCCTCCAGGCTCTCCCCGTCCACCCTCACCAGGCCTTCTAGCGACTCAGTGAGTGAGACTGACTTGTTGAGCCTCTGTCCTTCTGAGAGCTAGGTACCACCCCCCTCAACAACTTGTATGGGTAAAGAGTCTCCCTACCCCCACTCTGCTGGGCAGCAGGCCCTTTAGGATCAGAAGTGTGTCACCTGTCCTGGGTTCTAGGAGAGCCAAGGTGTGCCTATGGTTGGGTGGGAGTTGGAATTCAGGTCCCCCAGGAGCTCCCTGTATCTCAAAGCCAAGCCCTTGGGTCCTCTTTCACAGTGGTCCTGCAGCTCTGGCAGGAGCTTCAGCATCCCCTTTGGTGTTCAGAACCTGGAAAGTCGGAGCCCCATCCTGTATCTGGTTATTCTTCCTTGTTCTGTATTCCTAGGGTGCTCAGGCAAGCACTTCAGGCCGCTCTCCAGACCTGGACCCCTGAGCTCAGCTCAGCCCTGCTCCTTCTGGTGCCTGGGCCAAGCTTGCAGCCTTTTCAGGTGCCTTCCCCAGCTGGCTTCCTTCCTGCACTTCTCCTCCGCCTCTCTACCTCCCTGCTCCCCTCGCTCAGCCGGTGCTTCTCCCCAGTCCTTTCCCTGAGGCCTGTAGGCTCAGGAGGTCTGGGTTCCTCTGCCCTGCCTCACCCCCTTTTTGTTTGGGTCTCCTGTCCATCATTCTTCTTGCTGGTTTTGGGGTCCCACACAAAGGTCCCTGGGAGACCCTGGGTGGCATTCTTTGGGCCCCCAGCTGTTACTCCTGGGATAGGGAATTCTGCTGCACTTGAAGGGAGCTAGGGATTTGGCGAATAGGGAAGGACACTCCTTGAAGAATCAGCTGGGGAACACAAGACCTAGGTGGCAGAAAAAATCTGTGCATCACTTCCTTCCTCGACATTGTCTATAACCCACCCCCATGTGCCTGGGAGCCAGACTTCTGTACTGGCACATTGGAGAGGGACCCCGTGTCCCACTCTCTGGTAGGAAGGAATTGACATTTTAAAAGTAGATGGGGTGCTGTTGGAGTTTTTTTACAATGAGCATTGCTATTTTTGTAAAAAAACAATAAAATGTATTGATTTCTGAGAAGAGAAGCAATGCTGCAACCCAAGGAGGGCTGCTCTCTTAGTGAGACACGCTGTTCCTGGGGTTGGTGGGAGAGGTGCTGGGGCACAGTGAGGCTCCTCAAATTCTGGGGTGTAGGCTCCTCCTAGATAGATAGCTGCCTGCAGGTTCAGACGCTGCACTCAGTCACT